ATCACTTTGGTAAATTGTATGGCAATTTATTTTCGTTAATATTGTGCAATAGAATTAATAAATGGTGAGAGTCAGAAATAATTTTCAGCGATATTCAGTTTGATTTTAGAGATTCTAGATCAACCCCTGATGCTATTTTTATTCCTCATGCCCTAATTCAAAAAGTTCTAGCAGCAAATAAAATCTAAACTCATATGTATTTTCATTGATTATAAAAAGGCTTCTGACACAGTTATAAGAGATGCGTTATGGATTAAGTTGTAAGATACTGGTATTAGTTGTAAAATGATAAATATGTTAAAGGCAATTTATTCGTCTTTCGTGTCATGTGTATATGTTAGTAATTAGCATTCGCCTATATATAGCTATTCAAATCAATGTGTAAATGGAAATAATAAATGCTTGGCTAGGAAAGCTCATACTATTATAAATGAGTTAGGATTTTCATATTTGTTAGATAACTATTATGTTATTTCTGTTTTAGCTTAATTTTCAAACAACGCCTTAGAGATCAATTTATACAAAATTGGCATGAGCAAATAAATAACATGCCAAAACTCTTTTATTTTAGGAATTACAAATCCAATCTTTGTTTTGAGGAATATCTAAGTGAAATACAAAATGACAAGTTAAGAAAACGTTTGACATGTTTCAGACTTGGTTCTCATTCTCTTGACATTGAAACTGGCAGATATATAGGTTTAAACAGAAATGAGACAATATGTAAACTTTGTACTCAAAACATGGTAGAATCAAGAATATCACTTCCTGTTTTGTTGGACATTTTATTCAGAATTAAGAAAACTTTTTATTCATAATGCATCTTTTCCAACACTGAATAAGTTTTATTATATCATGTCATCTAATAATAAACATAGATTATTACTGATAAGTAAGTACTTGGACAAAGCTTTTGATTTACGATATAATACCATGGAACAAATGATAAATAGACGAAATTAATGATATATTATTATTACTACTTTGTTATTTGTTAATTTAAAAACGAATACTGATATTTAAATTGTTTATATATGTATCTTGTAGTTATGTGTGCTATATTTCAAGATCTATATACAATTATGTATGTGTTTTGCATGTATTGTCAAAGGCAAGGATTTGCCGATTTGCAAATAAAATTCGAACTTTGAACTCTAAGACGGCAAATAAACAATATTACATTACAGACAAATCGGTTATAACACCTCTTATTTTATATCAATCAACCTTATTTACTTTATCACGATCATGATGTGTTAAAAAAATGTGTCGCCGACAGTAACTTTTTCAGAACATGTAGAACCAGAACTTTTGTTGTCTTTTTGTGTTGACCGAAAAGGTATGATTTTCACTATATTTCTGCCGAAGGGACCAGAGATAAGGTTTGAGAGTTTGAGCGATCGGTGTTCGAGCGATCCGACGAGGTAGAACAGTATATATTTTATAGGAATTTTTCCGGGACTGGGTGATGATTTCGAGCGAAGGGGATTTTCGAGCTATCCGAGTTCAAGCGAACGAAGTTTAACTGTAATAGTATTTTACATTTTTTTGTAATGTTTATTAATGAATGTTACCAACATTATGTTTTCTTCATGAGCATAAAAATGCAATTAAGAAGAAATGTTTTGTCTGTAAATATCACATGACACTATGTACTTCTTCCTGTTAGTTGGGACAAACATTCTTTGTTGCAGCTAAAACAGTGTTGAAACGTGATTCAGGATGCAATTGGATTGGTTTGCGCTAGAATCTTTGTGTTTAGTTTAGTTTGATACAAATTAAGGCCTAATGAAATGAAAACGGATGTACGAGGATTTACATACATGTACATAATTTAGGCTTAAATGAGCGTTGTGACACTTCTCAAACATATGGTTTTAAAAGATATGTTTATGTTGGCATAATAGTGATATTTTTATGTTGGATATAAAAATGAAAGTATTACGTTTATCTATAATATGTACCTAAATGCCAACCATACGACGATAAACACAGCAAACCATCGTTACAATGAACTCTTAATATTTTACATAGAGATATATGTTCGTCACTTCCGGTTTGATCTCGCACCTTCGACTTTATAATGGTTATTCTAATACGAGGCAATATAAGGCAATATTGCTGATAATTTAACGCGTAAACATAAACTTTTTTTTCTTCATTTATTTGATATTTGAAGTATAACAATACAAACATACACATTAACATACAATTCATAGACTCATACCTATATTTTCAAAAACAAAAACACCACAAAGTATGAAAACACCCATTCACTCCATATTTCTACCATATATTCATTCATTTCGAATAATAGAAAGAGTATTTCAGAAAAAGGAACTGAAAATTTAAAGTATATTCAAAGACATTTTAACATTATTTGGAGTAAAAAAAGAGAATGAAAAAAAGAGGGAAATTTGAAGTATATTCAAAAACATTTAACATTATTTGGTGTAAAATAAGGAGAGAGAGAGTAAAAAAATAAACAAAGAAAATGACAGAGAAATATACATACACAAACATACACACAGACATTCAAAAAGATAATTTTTTCCTACATGCATACAAAAATATACATACAATCGCAAAAAAAAACAGAGACAAAAAAGTAACAAGCGAGCTAATTTCAATTAATTTTCTTACGTTTTATGGTTTTGAATTTAATTTTAACTTTCCCTTACTGTTGGTTTGTAGGTTAGAGCGTTAAGCAAGTTACCCCATTTTTGTTTGTGTGATTCAACGTTATCATTTAGAAAAGCAATTTCCTCTTCAATTTGTATTCTCAATAGCAAAAAGTTTTTGAAAATATCAAAAGTTGGTTCATGCTTTTGGTATTTCATTTTAAGGATAAAATATTTCATAAGTATGATGACATAATTTATTAAAATACTATTAATATTGTTTTTTAGTTCTCCAAAAAACACTGTTTCTAAATTATAAGAGAAAACAATATTGATTGATAAGAGAAACGAATGTAATTTTGACCATACATTTTGTACAATAGTACATTCCCAAAAAAGATGGTAAAGCGTTTCTAAATTGCTTCCACAAAAATCACATAGATTTGAATTACAAAGGCTATACTTAAATAACATTTTATTTATTGGAGTAAGTCTATGAATAAATTTGTATTGAAAACTTCTCAACAACACGTCTGTAGTACTTTTAAAAGGAACCATATATATTTAATGCCAATCCAGCTCAGTTTCTATTTCTTTTTCCCATTTCTCTTCATTTGTATTTTTGAACCTTTCATCATTTTCAAGTTGAATATTATATAAAAGCTTATTTGTAGATTTTGATTTTTTAACTTTATTTAGGAGTGTATCTTGTACTTCGTTATAATTTCTTGTAGATTTCAGACTAACAAGAAATCTTTTTGGTATATTATTCATAAGCGTGTAATATTTTAAAAACTCAGCATTTTCCATACCATAGATATTTTTAAGGTCTTCAAATTTGTAGAGTTCATTTTTCCTATAATCATATAGATGTTCTAAATATAGAATACCTTTTTGATGCCATGTTTTATAGTACACCAATTTATTATCAATTTTAATATTCGAATTATTCCATATTATATGTTTAAGGTTATCTTTTTTATTATTGTGTTCTTGTTGAATATGAAACCATGACGAAAGCACATTGTTTATGAATGAATTATGAGGAAAAAGCTTATTGATATCTGATTTCGAAAGATTACAGTCAAATATAAGGTCATTTCCATACTGTTTTATCTTTTGATTTATAAAAAGTTTCCATAATCCTTTATTGTCCTCATTTATATATCGTTTGACCCAATTTGCCTTTACTGCATTTAAAAAAGTATTAATATCGATCATTTTTAAACCACCATTTTTAACATTAAGTTTTAATGTTTTACGTTTGATTTTTTCTGGCTTGCCGTCCCAAAGAAACAAAAACATTGCTTTAATTATTTCTTTTATCTTATTATCTGATGGGTTTCCTAAACTGAAAATGGATATAACAGTTTAGGTAAGGCAAATGTTTTTATTACCATCACTTTACCCATAAGGGTCAGTTTTCTGTGTTGCCATTGTTTTAAGCAAATAAAAAAGTTTCTTAGTTTTGGTTCTAAATTTATATCTGTAATTATTTTGTAATTAGACGAGAAAAGAATACCTAGAGTTTTTGCTGAATCAGATGTCCAATTGAATTTTTTATGTTTACAAAGTTCTACATCACTTTTTATGAGCAATCCCACTCGTAGAACTGTGGATTTTTTCTATTAAGTTTTAATCCACAGATTTTGCTAAATTCCGTTATGACATATACAAGTTTTTCAAAAGACTTCACTGATCCATTATTAACAAATCTGCAAAAAAAATGATTGTTTTTTTTTTCGCGATTTCTACCCCTTTCATTTCGCTATCTAAATCTATGAAATTTGATAATATTTCTATACATAAAATAAATAATGAAAAAGATAATGGACATCCCTGACGTACACCCCTTTCTATATTAAAAGACTCTGAAAAATGTCTATTATTGATAACTATACTTGATATATCAGTATAAAAGATTTTAACCCATTTTATAAGATCTTTGCCAAAATTAAATTTATCCAGTGTATCAAATATAAATTGATGGCTTAGGCTGTCAAATGCTTTTTCATAATCAGCAAAGAATAATAAACCCGGTTTATTTTCTTTCTGCAGATGTTCAATAATTTCAAAAATCAGCCTTACATTTTCACCAATATATCTATTTTTCATAAAACCAGTTTGATTAAAACTTATTATAGACGGCAGAATTTTTTTCATTCTATTTGAAATTGTTTTTGTTGCAAATTTATAATCAACATTGAGCAAGCTTATTGGTCTCCAATTAAACATAAACTTACTTAAGTTTGTTCTGCATGATCAAATATTAAAAAAGCACGTGAATATGGTGACCACTGACGTTTAAATGCAGGTTGACATATACTTGTATTTAGTTTGGAGTCAAAAAAAAAAACACAATGTGAATCTTTTTTCCAGTGTGTAGCTATTGGTATTTTGGAAAACTTTGTCAAAATCAATGCAACGACAACTGTGTAAGGTCGTCTGGGGCGAAAGTACTATGCAATCACGTGAACGGCACATGCTTATATGGTTGCAAAGCAGGATATCAAGGATCCCATTGTGACATAAGTATGTTGTTTTTAATATTAGATATAAAGGTACATAACAATATATAACTTTCAGAATAATGCCCTTATTTGGTTCTTGTCGTGATTAAAAGCATTCCAATTTTCATATTGATATCTGAAAAAAACTGTTATCGTAGTAATGAGCTACACTGAAATATTTGGGCGACGACGACCTAACAATCATAATATCTCGACTTTATCTTCGGAACAGACGAGTAAAATATCGGGTTTTAAGAAGAAAGCATTAAACCTAAACCTTAAACACGAATTTAAATATGTCTTGAATTAAAGTAAGATTGATTTGTTTTTATAAAATGTTACTTTTGTCCTCTAATGTCCGCGATATTTTTTTTAAAATTAAAATACATTTTGATATATTATTGCTTTTGCGCCCCCACTTTAACGGGGGCATTAAGATTTACCTTGTCCGTCCATCCGTCCGTCAGTCAGTCGGTACTTTCGTTCTCATTTTGTGTCGCACCTAGCTTAAAAAGTATTTGACCTAGAGCCATGAAACTTTACAGGAATGTTGCTCAGTATGTGAAGTAGTGCACCCAGGGTTTTGCTTGTGGATTTATTCTGTTTTGTTAGGGTTATTGCCCTTGACAGTAAAAAATGGCAATTTTCAACTTGTGTCGCATGAAGCTCAAAAAGTATTTGACCTAGGGTCATGAAACTTTGTAGGACTGTTGATCAGCATGAGTTGTTGTGCACCTATGTAAATATCTTGTATCTTTAGAATTTTGCCCTTAAATTTTCAACTTAGGTCACACGTAACTCAAAAAGTATATATTAACCGAAAGTCATCAAACTTTACTAGAATGTTGATCAGCATGTGAAGATGTGCACCTGTGGTTTCGCTTGTGAATTTATACTGTTCTGTTAGAGTAATTGCCCTTTACAGAAATGTTGATAAGCATGTGTAGTTTGCACCTGGGTATTTTCGTGTGGATTAATATACTCGTAGTACTTGTAGAGTTATTGTCCTTGATTTAGTAAAAAAATTAAATTTTCAACTTGTGTCACACGTAGCTCAAAAGTATTTGGCATAGGGTCATGCATCTTTACAGGAATGTTGATCAGCATGTGAAGTTCTTGTGTTTCGCTTGTGAAATTATATGTTGTGTCTGAGTTATTGCCCTTGACTTATTGAAAATTTGCAATTATCAATTTGTGTTCTACGTAAGTCAAAACAAATTTCACATAGAATCATGAAACGTATTTGAAATGTTGGTCAGCATTTGTAGTTAACGATGCGCTTGTGGATTTATTTGTAGAGATATTGACTTAATAAAACCCGTTTCATTATGTTGTATTATTTGTTCCTTGAGTGTTTGAGTAAGAATCAGCCAAATTTACAGTAATAATGATCAACATTACTTTGAAGCTATGTACCTGGGATTTTGCATGTGGATTTGTTTCAGTATTGTTAGAGTATAAATTTGTAATTTTCAACTTATTCTTGCATAGCTCAAATCGTATTTGACCAGTATAGGCGTACAATTTACAAGAATGTTGGTCAGTATGTGTACCTATTCACCTTGGGATCGCTTGTGGATTTGTTCAGTATATGTAAAGTTCTTGTCCTTTACTTACTAAAGGATTTTAAGTGCTCATTTTGTGGCACATGAAGCCCAAAAATATTTGACCAAGAGTTATAAGATTGACAAAATAGTGAGGTGTGGGGGCGCCCGTGTTCTATACACACATTTCTAGTTTATTTTAAAGTCAAAGATAACAAAATGTTGAAACGAATTATTTTTCCAGAGTGTAATAATGGATCTTTTGGCAAAGACTGTCAGAATAAATGCGACAGCAACTGTTTAAGGTCAGGGGTGAATGCCATATGCGATAACGTGAACGGCACATGCCTAAATGGTTGCAAAGATGGATATCAAGGATCCCATTGTAATAAAAGTATGCTGTTTTAATCTTATTTTTAATTTTTAGATAAAGAAAGATCTTACATGTTTCTTACCAAGCGGTATATCTAACAGGTTCTTGTATCAATAATTATGGTTCGTTTTTTCATATTCAAACCAGACTGGGTGTTCTTATTGGTGAATTTGTATGATTGGTACGAACAATATCTTGAATGGAGTCTTGAGTAAAATACAAATTACAGAAAACATAAAGAACACCTAAGAAAGAATTAAAAATGATGAAAACTCGGTTTGAGACGGCCTTATCATGGATTTAGGTGAGTCATCGTTTGTGGCATTGACCCTGGCTTAAGCATAATTCCACATTTCAAACATTACAAAAATGAGTTAAAATTACTGTAGAAATTGATTTTCCATGCTCACTATTAAATAGGTTTTACAAAGAGGTATTCATTTTTTATCTTTATATTAACATGTTGTTCAAATTTCGCTTAATAAAATGTACAGTGCAATTATTGCGGGTCATAATTAGATTACATGTGTAGCAATTTTATTAATGGATTTTTGAAGTTTCCTTTTATTGAATCTTGTAAAATTGCTACTTACTCATGAAAGAGTAATAATTACTCCAAAATAAGGTAACATGGACTTGTCCTTACCAAAAATATTTGTTGAATATCTATCTGTCAGTTTGGAAATTCTTGACGTTTGTTGATTAAATTACTTTGTTAACAGTTATTCTCATCACCAGATCATCAGACATCTGTCTAATGCAGACTTAATTTCCCACTCCTAAAGTACTGCATGCAACAGTAGTTTTATTTTAATTTGCCCTGGGCAACTGACCTATATAACCGATCAAGTGAGTATGACTTTTAAGGTCAATTGTCTAAATTTTGCTTGATTTTTGCCGACTTTTAATATTAGTGGCTAATTTGTTATTTTTAAATGGATTTTCTTCATACTTGAAAACAACAATCTTTTAAGGAAAAAATATGATAAACAAGATCAACAAGGAAAGGCGGCGTTCAATGAACGCAACCCCCATATGACCCAGCAACAAGAACCAATGGGAAGGAGCCCAGGCGGACCCCAAACATAAAAAGGACAGGGCAAAGACAGGTTAATCATTAAATGATAAATAATTTGTAACTGATTAGGAATTCAAAGAAAATAATAATAGGCCCACAAATAAAAACTAGAGGCAAAGGGGAAGATACTTACTTTTAGGAAGACCTTATAGTTAACAAGACTGACCTTAAACCTGCACTCGTAAATGACTATGACCTCTAAGATCAAATTATTGTCATTTCTTTTTCTTTTTTCGTCTCCAACTGGCTATAACTTTGTTATAAATGAATGGTTTAACTTTATATTAAGATTCAACCGTTTTCAGGGTAGAACCTTTTATGTGTTTCAAACGAAACTGGTCTTGGTTAATTGATGACATTGGCCTTGAAGGTCAAATTATGGAATTTTTACTGATTTCTGCTATAATTGACTGTTACTTTGTATTAATTCATTGGTTATCTTCATACTTGCATAAATTAACATTTTGCACAAGACCTTCTTAGGAATTGAAAAGGCCTTGATCTTGAGCTTTAAATGACCTTGACCGTTTCAGTCAATTTTTGACATTTGGTTAAAGTGTCATTATTTTGTTTTTCGTGTATAGATTTGATTTATACTGAGACAAGACTAGACGTCAAATTAACAAAATTATCTTGTTTTTCCTTCAACTGGCTATAACTTTGTTGTTAATAAATAGATTAAATTCATATTTAGACACATCATCCTTTAGGTCAGGGCCTTTATGTACAAAAAACTCAATATAATTGTCATACAAAATATCTAAGGTCTATTTTGACCTATGGGGCTTCAGAGAAGAATATTTATAAAGTATGTTTATTAAATATAAATAATTAAATATTTGTCACAAGTAACAAATATGTCACTGTGGCTATAATTTGAAAAAAAAAACAATATGATGTTGATGAATTTTGTTAAAAATTTATTAGAAATTGTCTTTTGATATTTGATTTAAACATAATGATGATAATAATAAATAAATAAAACGTGACATGTTAAGGTTGAAACTTTAAAATATCTGTTTTTACATTTTATTTTATTCAATATTCCTTATGCTACAACACCTGCCTAGCATTTCAAAATCACCTTAAAGCGGAGTAGCTGAAAGACATTTATATTAAACAAAATTTTGATGCAATAAGTCGTATACCCAATACATTAAAATGCATAAGGTGGAGAGTGTGGTTGTTAAATACATTCATGTTCCGGTTTCAGCACAACCTGTCTTTAAAGATAATAGTTTAAATTTGAAATGAATATTTTTAATCAGGCATCATTTTCACCGAACGTTTAATTTAAAAGCTTTATCACAGAATATAGCTAAATTTTTCACTTCTTTCTTGCGACCAGTTTGCATTAATGAAATGAATTTAAACATACTTGTGTTGCAATTATAGTATCTTGGAATGTATATCTTTCTTTACTCAGAATATATTGGACATTTAAGGATAAAGTGAAATTCATCTTCTATACCATTCATATTACATAAAGTGCACTTTCGTTCATTCCTTTGTACATTGTTATGTCTTCCTAACTCGATATTAAGTTTGTGTGAGGAGAGTCTAATTTTTGCTAAAACATTTCTATATTTTACATTTTCAATATATTTTATATATAACGATTGTTCAAATGTGATCTTATATTCCTTATATACATCTAACAATGGTGAAGATTGAATACCATCTTTCCAAAAACTTATATAAATATCCCGTAATCTATTCCTAAAAATAGGTACAAATAGTTTTATATTAACAGAATCGGGATATAACCAGACTTCATTAAATCCTGCTGACGGAACTTTTGAAGCCCAGTTTGTTGAACAATTTACCACATCAACATCATATATTTGTCTACACAATATTGTTCTCAATATACAATTATCTTTTTTACCTGTAATTAACTTTAGAAAATATTTTATCATACGAATATGCCTTTCAATGTAAAGAGGAAATCTCCCCTATTCTGCATATGATGCAAAGTATTTGTTGACTGTTTAACATTTACAATAAACCTACAAAAAATTTTTGTACTCGTTCCCAAACTTCTGCATTCATAAACCGCCATACTTCACAGCCATAATTTAAAATTGATAAAACATAGGCGTCAAAGAGATTAAACATAATGTTAACTGGTACTTTGTAGTCACGTTACAATTGTAACAATGAAAATAATGATCTGAGCCTTTCCCAGCTAACGTCTTTGTAGCTTGCATGAATGACCCACCACTCGTGAATACCACACCTAAGTAGTTAAATGAATTTACTACCTCGATTTCTTGGTTATTATAAAACCATTTATCCATATTACCAAGTCTACCACCTTTTCTGAATACAATTATGTTTGTCTTTTCAACATTTACCGTCAAATTCCAACGATTACAATAGGACAATAACTATCAAGTGACTTCTGCAAACCGGACCTAGATTCTGAAATGATGGCGGCATCGTCAGCAAATAACAATAAATAAATTGATATTTGGTCGATATAAAGACAAACGTCAATATTTTTTGCAGGTGTTATTCGACACTATCATGCAAGAACAGGGAGAAAAATATTGGAGAAGTTATCTCCCCCTGTAATAGACCAATGTTACTATTGAAGACATCAGATAAAGTTCCTGTTTAACACACAATTTCACCTCATTATACATCGATCTTATAATTGACAGGAATTTGCCGTCAATACCCAATTTTATAAGTTTATACCATAACCTTGACCTATCACTACAGTCATATGCTTTTCTATAATCAACGAAACAACAGTACAGTTTTTGTTTTCAATTTGCCTTTGTATCAGTGAATGTAAGATAAAAACAGGATCAACTGTATTATACCCATTTTTGAAACCAAACTGGGCATCCGACAATACACAGTTGTCTTCAGCCCATGATTTAAGTCTATCATTAAATATAATTGAAAACAGCTAAGAAAAACAGCTAGTAAGTGTGATTCCTCTATTATGGTTGGGATCTGAAACAGTGCCCTTCTTATGCAAGGGAATAATAACACCTGTCGCCCATGACTTGGGAAATTTCTTCTTATCTAGTATATCGTTAAAGAACAAATTTAAAGGGTGAATTATCTGAGGGACGGGTACTTTAAAATATTTATATAGGATATTATCTAACGAGAGCGTTTTGTTTACTCCTAGCTTCTTGATAGCTTTCAAGATTTCCTCATTTGTGATACGTTCATCTAGCGTCTCAAATGCACTACTGTCATATATCCCCTCACCTAAATTATTGATAAAATCGTCATAGTCATAATTTTCTACTTCCTCGCTCTCCCCTGACATTAAATTGCAAAAATAATCTTTAAAATCACTAACTGAAATATCTTCCCCACAAACAGTAGAATTTGTACTTTTGAATATTTTCCAAAATTCCCTTGGTGATTTCCTCCTTAAATCGTTCAATTTTGACAATATGTATTATTAAAAGCATTCTTTGATTTTCTACATTGATATTTATAGTCTTTTCTTTTATTAAAAAGTATAGTTCTATCCTCTGAAGAGTAAGATAAATTATATCTGGATACAGCATCCTTATATGCAGCCAATTTTTGAGAACATAAATTATCAAACCATTTCTTATTTTTGTTATGATCACTAAAACAAACTTCACTGTCAACAATATAAGTCTTCTTGAAATACTTATCACCATGCTCACACAAAAAATTAGTAAAAATAGAAGTGAGTTTATCAACACTGTTTTCTCTATTAATTTCAGAACGTAAATCCCTTTCAAGTGAGTTCAAATGGTGAGATATATCTCTCAAAAATAAATCTTGGTATCTTTTATCAAACTTAATACGTGTATTAGTACTACTTGTAGGCTCATATAATGGTTCAATATTAGTTTTAAAAAAAAACGACAATGTGGCATGGTTGGAAAAAATATTGAATTCTCCGACCTAAAAATTGCCAAGTAAGCAAAATTTATCTTCTTGTGTAAGTAGGTTATCTACTACACTTGTTCCGTTATGCGTGAAACAGGTAAATTCCCATGATCACCTGGCTAGCGACCGTTAACTATTCGCTGATTGGTTGCTTTACAGAGATCAAGTAGATAATCACCGAACCGATTTGACGTAGTATCTCGAGAAATGCGAGGCATGGGATTATCAATAGTTATTACGTCACCAGTACTAATATTTCTGTCAAAATGGATAAAATCAGCTTTACAACCAGTTGTACTATTAAGATCGCCTACTACAAATATTTTGCCTAGCAAATTATAGTTTATAATATCTTGTTCAAGTTGTGAAAAAAATATCAATATTGTAAACGTTATGCACAGGGGAAGATTCAGGTGCGATGTATGTAAAACAAATATATATATCATCTCTAATATTAAAAAAAATGTTTTATCTACTTTTAACCAAATTATACAGTCTATAGATTTTTCAACAATTTTTATTCCTTGCCTTATAGTGTCTTTAATATATACCACAAGTACGCCGCTTGACCGCTTTGCCCTACGGTGTTGATATTTCCGATATGAATGAATTGGGTTTGAATAGCCTTTAAGTTCAATATTTGACGATTTGTTTGTCCATGTCTCACTTAGACAGATGATATCATTTTTACATAATATGTCTAAAAAATCCTTGCATTGTTTTTTTTCCACAGTAAGTCCTTCTACGTTCCACGATATACATTTTAAACATTCCCACTTGGTTCCTAGCATGATTCTGTATAAAGCTGATTGTTAATGTTTGTCCATTTTAAGGTATGCTTCCTTTCCATCCCGGCGGGCCTGTAACATGATAGGGATTAACTTCCGGCGCTGATCTACTATTTCTTTCGGATACTGTTCTGATATGCCAAAGATAGATCCCTTCAGCTCCTTAGCAGCTCGTCGCACCCGCTCACGATTGGGGAAGACCGTGAATTTAGCGACAATCGGTCGTGTTTTTCCGGCTCTATATTGCCCAATGCGATGTACTCTCTGAAGTCGAATATCACTAGTTGCATTTTCTAAGTTTTTCGTCAATGAATTGTAGGATTTGAACTTCACAGTTTTCATCTTTTCCTTCTTTGATTTTGTGAAACAATAAATTGTCCCGCATACTACGACATTTTAAATCTTGTATTTCTGACTTTAATGCGATTTCTATGTTTTTATGTTCTAGTTCAATTTTCGACATTTTATTGGCAAAACTATCTAACTCTTTGTGATGCTTATTCAGTTCCAACAAAGTTTGACTATCGAAGTCGCGGCTACGCTCTAAAGCCTGTACTTTATCATCGAGTTTATTGACCTTTAATTCCACTGTTTGGATACGCATGTTTATACTGTCAACACTACATTGAATTGCATCTAACCTGGAAAGTTAATTGTCCATACTATCCAACCGTTTCATTATCATTGCCATAACGTCTGTGCCTGGCGAGGCGGTTACATGAACATAAGATGAGTTACATACATCCATTTGTCCCATAATTGGGTAGGGGCTTGCACCAATATTCATGGGGGGGGGGGGGGGTACGTGTATCTAAAGTTCGATGATGATAACTGTGATTGGGGGGTATAAGGTTGTGTTTGTTTAAACAATGAGTCAGTACTTAGCTTTTGTCCATTTTGTCCATTTTCCTTGTCCATGTTTTGCTTTTGTTTACGTTCCCGCCTTTTCACTGGTGTTTGATGTTTTTCATCTCCAGGCGAAGTTTTAGACTTTTTTCGCTTTCTGGTCATATGGTCCCAATATTAAACATTCCCTTTACCAAAAAATATATCCAAAATTTATTTTGATCACTAAATAACTTGTAAATATATTAATTTTCCATTCTCTATAAAACTGATTTAAAATTTCCACCATTTGCTCACGCATGCGCACTTAGTACGATTATGTTATGAAATTTCAGTTTTAAGTGTTGTTACTGAACACGATTTTCCATTAACGACACCGACTTTTAACACAATTGGCCGGGTCGAAATAACCATTCATTTATTAAAGGTTAATGCTACCTGAAGACCTGTATTATAAACCAAATTAATAAAGAAAGCAAATAAAATGGAGAAAAACAGAATTCCTAAAGAAAGCCCAGCACGAAAAAATGCTAGGTTTAATTGAGCCTGCTCAGAGTACTTGATATTATTTCTCCTATGAACTGTATTTACGGCTTCGTGTTATTTTACTTACATTACATGAACTTTTAACTATTAAATGACCTACATGCTAATTTTGATGAATTTTAAATAATTTAAAGACGTGTTTTTAGGTGTCTTTCTCACCGTGTGTTAGAATTATCCTTCTATTGTTAATAATTTATTTATAGAAACTGGTAGATATAAAAACACTCCTAGACAACAGCAATTATGTAAATCTTGCAATATGAAGCAAATAGAGAGTGAATACCACTTTATCCTTGTGTGTCCCAACAACCAAGATCTTCGACAAAATATTTTAACAGATACTACTGCCATTGGCCGACTTTGAATTAATTAGATAGTCTCTTGTCGTCAGACTCAAAGAAAACTATATGTGTCTTAGCTTAATTTTTGTATTGGGCATTTCGTAAACGTATATCTTAATCTGATATTTTTTCTGTAAAACTATATTATTGATAAGTACAAGTCTAATTTGTTCCTATATTTACTTGTATTCTCAGAAAACTTGTGTTTTGTTAACTGCTATTCCTTTCACTGTACATGTGTATCATTGTTAATTGGCTATAAGCAATGTATTTTGTTTTATGCTTAATAAAAATTCGGATTTGTATTCGTATTAAAGGATAATAAAACCTAATTGATCTATGTGAACAAAAGGATCTGACCTCCAGTTGTGTAATATGTTACGTAATTTATGACCTGTGATAATTTTGTTTTTTTCACACGTTCAAGTGTTGTCAACATACTTTAGGGGGCAGTTAGGCCTGGCATCCGTTCTTTTTTGCAATCCAATTAAGATATCCGAAAGATGGTTATTAGAAAATTAGAACTGCGTTAACCACACCATGCCCATTTTTGCATAATGACTGTTATATAGTCGATGAAAGTTTAGGTAATCATCCAGTCAAAATCACAGTATTGTACATTTTTTCTAATGTTTATTTATAATGTTACCAACATAATGTTTTCTTCATGAGCATAAAAGTTAGAAAAAACAAGACATGTTTTGTCTGTTAATATCACATGGCACTATGCCCTTTTTCCTGTAAGCTGGGACAACAATTCTTTGTCACAGCCTAAGCAGTGTTGACACGTGATTCAGAAAGTAATTGGATTGATTTGCGGTAGAATCATTGTGTTTGGATTGATATGCGGTTGAATCATTGTGTTTAGTTTAGTTTGATATAAGTGAAGGCCTAATGAGATGAAAGCAGATGTGCGAGGATTTACATACATGTACGTTATTTAGGTTTAAATGAGTGTTATGGTTTTAAAATATATGTTTATGTTGGAATAGAGTGATATTTTTATGTTGGATATAAAAATGAAAGTATTAGGTTCATCTTTAATATGTACCTAAATGCTAATCATATTACGAGAAACACAGCAAAACATCGTTATCATGAACTCTCAATATTTTATATAGAGAGATATTTACGTCACCTGCGGTTTTATATCGCACCTGCATAACAGGTAGCGACTTATATATTGGGTGAAACTTGAGTTTATAAGGGTAATACTAAGGCAATTGCTGATAATTTAATTCGTTAAGTTTGTTCTGCATCATCATATATTAAAAATGGCACCTGAACATGGTGGCCACTGACGTTTAAGGTATTACCATCCTAATGCATTACCTCCGCTTTGAAGAGTATTCAAAAAGTCTAGAATTACTGTTAACTTCATTGAAAATTAGGGCCGTGGATTCAATCCCCAGAAGGGTCAACTTTTTTTCTTTCTTTTAACTTTAAACATTATTTATGTATCTCTTATGTCCCGTTTGGAAAGTAAAAAGTGTTTAATTTTGATTTTTTAATTTATATAGGTATTTTTTGGCTAAATTATGCTAAATCTAGTAATAAATATGGTAAATGATATTTTCAAAGTGTAATAAAATCAAAACTAGACGGTAAAAGTATTTCATATTTTACATGATCAACCAATATACTTCTTTAAAAAATGAAAGAAACTTTGAAAGCAGGCACTCATTTGGGTAAATTTTCAGGATTTTTTAAATTAGGCTCCCTTAGTAGGAAAATGGTCAGACACGTGGTAAAAATGGGTGGGGTAGGGTAACATTTTAATACAGATTACATAAATTTGAAGTAGAACGATAATTTTGCTTATGTGGATTGTTAGCTGAATGGTACTTTTTGTTTCTTACCAAAAATTAATGGGAAAACATTTTTCATTAGACTGTTATTGCAGATTATTTAAAGGAGATATTTATTTAATTTATTTATTTAGTTTGTAGATAAAGGAAACACTATGTGAATCTTTTTCAGAGTGCAGCTATTGGTTTTTTGGAAAACTCTGTAATAATCAATGCAACATCAACTGTGTACGATCTGGGGCAAAGGCACTATGCAATCACGTGAACGGCACATGCTTATATGGTTGCATAGCAGGATATCAAGGATCCCATTGTGACATAAGTATGTTGTTTTAATCATATTTCTAGTTTATATAAAGTAAGATCTTACATGTCTCTGACCAAGCGGTGTATCTAACAACTTCTAATACCAATAATTATGGTTAGTTATTTTCATATTCAAACCAAACTGGGTGTTCTAATTGGCATCTCAACAACGCGGGACTTTGTTTCCATTAATGTCGCTCTCACTGTATTCAATTTAGTTAAAGTATATAAAACAAACTGCATAAAGTAAACTTGAAAGTATGGTTGTTGAATACATATATTCCACTTACCGCATTTCCGCAGACTTTGAAGGTAAAACATTTTAATTTGAAATGAACTTCACAAGATTTGAGAATTAACACATTAATTTTCACCGATTTTTTAAGCACCCAATACAAACCAGATGACATCAAGATATTATGTTGGTAACTTATTAACTTTCTAACAAAGTGTAACTTTAAACATCCTAACAAAGTGTAACTTTTAACATTGGAATACGTAATAAATTCTTTAAAATTATAATTGCAATTATGACTTTCTCTGTTCGACTGACTCATAATGGATGCAAAATATGTAATAAAATATGATAAACAAGATCAACAAGAAAACACCACCTTTTAGGTTTTTAGAAAGTACCTCTGATAACAAGCTAGGTAGTTTAATAATTTTCATCTCAAACAAGAACAACTGCATGGATATTATGTAGACAATTGTTATAACAGATCTGTTACCTCTCACAAACAATTGCACCAATGCGCTGTGAAAGCTCATCTTTGAAGGGTAATCACAATCAATCAACTATTTTTTGTAGATGTGATTTTTTTTATAAAAAGTATATCTCAATGACAAATATATGTTGCCTCCTGGATCCAGACTACTAGTATTGTCTTACAAATTGTGTTGTCATGATTATCAAGTCTTACAAGTTTTAATTTCATATCTTTGATAGTTTTTTTTAAATTGTCCTACTTATATATATAATAAGTAATTTTGACAAAATAATATTAGATATTAAGGTGCATAACACAAAAACATTACTTTCAGAATAATGCCCTTATGTCGTTTTTGCCGTGATAATAAACATTCCAATTTTCATATTGATACCTGAACAACTGTTATAATAATGAGCTACACTAAAATATTTGGACGACGACGACCTAATAATCATAATATCTCGACTTTTTCTTCGGAACAGACGAGTTAAAAAATATCGGGTTTTAAGAAGAAGCATCAAACAAACCTAAAACACGACTTTAAATATGTCTTGAATTATATTAAGATTGATTAGTTTAAATAAAATGTTACTTTTGTTCTCTAATGTCTGCGATAAATGATAGTAAAATACATGTTAATAAAAATATTGCTTTTGTGCTCCCACTTTTGGGGGGCATTAAGATTTACCCTTGTCTGTCTGTCCGTCCGTTCTTATTTTGTGTCGCACGTAGCAAAAAAGTATTTGACCTAGAATCATGAAACCTTATAGGAATGTTGATCTGCATGTGTAGTTGTGCACCGGGGTATTTTCTTGTAGATTTATTTAGAATTAAAGGAGTTATTGTTCTTGACTTAGTGTAAATTTTGCTATTTTTAACTAGTGTCGCTCGTAACTCAAGAAATATTTGACCTAGAATCATGAAACCTTAAAAAATATTGCTCAGCATGTGAAGTTGTGCACCTGGTGTTTCGCTTGTGGATTTATTCAGCTTTGGTAGAGTTATTACCCTTGACTTAGTAAAAATTTGCAATTTTCAACTTGTGTCGTATGTATCTCAACAAAGTATTTGACCAAGGGTCATGAAATTTTACAGGAATGTTGATCAGTTTGTGTTGTTGTGCACCTGAGTATTTTTGTGTGGATATATTGAGTATTTTTATAGTTATTGCCCTTGACTTAGTAAAAATTACAAATTTTCTACTTTTTTCGCTAATAACTCATAAAGTATTTGATTATGAGTGATGAAACCTTACATAAATGTTGCTCAGTATGTGAAGTATTGCACCTGGGTTTTCGCTTGTGGATTTATTCTGTTTTGTTAGAGTTATTGCCCTTGACTTAGTAAAAATTTGCAATTTTCAACTTGTGTTGAATGTATGACCTAGGGTCATGAAACTTAATAGGAATGTTGATCAGCATGAGTAGTTGTGCACCTATGGAAATAGTTTGTACTTTTAGAGTTTTGCCCTTGACTTAGTTAAAATTTGAAATTTTCAACTTGTGTCACACTTTACTTAAAAAGTATATAACCGAGAGTCATCAAACTTTACAAGAATGTTGATAAGCATGTGAAGATGTGCACCTGTGGTTTCACTTGTGAATTTATACTGTTCTGTTAGTGTTATTGCCCGTGACGTAGTAAAACGTTGAATAATTTGAAAAAGTAATTGCCCTGAGGTCATGAAACTTAATGAAATGTTGATAAGTATGTGTAGTTTGCACCTGCGAATTTTCGTGTGGATTAATTTAGTATTTGTAGAGTTATTGTCCTTCATTAAGTATTTGAAATTTTCGATTTGTGTCACACGTAGCACAACATGTATTTGGTAGGACATGAATCTTTACAGATATGTTGATCAGCATGTGAAGTTGAGCATCTGGGGTTTCGCTTGAAAATTTATATATTTCGAGTTATAGCCCTTGACTTATTGAAAATTTGCAAGTATCAATTTGTATTCTACGTAGCTCAAAATATATTTCAACTAGAATCATGAAACTTATTTGAAATGTTGGTCAGCATGTGTAGTTGAACGATTCGCTTGTGGATTTATCCAGTATTTATAGAGATATTGCCCTTGACTTTATAAAACCCGTTTCATTATGTTGTATTTTTTGTCCTTGAGTGCTTGAAATAGAATCAGAATAATGATCAACATCACTGTGAAGTTATGCACCTGGGATTTTGCATGTGGATTTGTTTAATTATTGTTAGAGTTATTGCCCTTAACTAAGTATATATTTGCAATTTTCAACTTATTCATGCATAGCTCAAATCGTATTTGATCAGTGTAGGCCTGAAATTTACAAGAATGTTGGTCAGCATGTGTACGTATGCACCTTGGGAATCGCTTGTGGATTTGCTCAGCATTTGTAAAGTTCTTGCCCATTAATCACTAAAACATTTTTAATGTTCAACTTGCGGCACATGAAGCCCAAAAATATTTGACAATAATCATAAGATTGTCAAAATAGTAATGTGTGGGGGCGTCCGTGTTCTATGGACACATTTCTAGTTTATTTTTAAGTCAAAGGAAACAAAATTTTTGAAACGAATTATTTTTCTAGAGTGTGATAATGGATCTTTTGGTAAAGACTGTCAGAATAAATGCAACAGCAACTGTTTAAGGTCAGGGGTGAATGCCATATGCGATAACGTGAACGGCACATGCTTAAATGGTTGCAAAGATGGATATCAAGGATCCAATTGTAATATAAGTATGCTGTTTTATTCTTATTTCTAACTGTTTGATAAAGTAAGATCTTGCATCTCTCTTCTTATCAAGCGGTATATCTAACAGGTTCTTGTATCAATAATTATGGTTAGATTTTTTCATATTCAAACAAGACTGGGTGTTTTTATTGGTGTATTGGTATGATTGTTACGAACAATATCTTGAATGGAGTCTTGAGTAAATAAGAAATTACAGAAAACATAAAGAACACCTAAGACAGAATTGAATATGATGAATACTCGGTTTGAGAGAGCCTTATCATTGACTGAGGTGAGTCATCGTTCTTGCCCCTGGCACTGGCTTAAGCAGAATTCCGCATTTCAAACATTACAAAACCGAGTTAAGAATACTGTATGAATTGATTTTCCATGTTCACTATTAAAAAGGCTTCACGACGAGGTATTCATTTCTTATCTTTATATTAACATGTTGTTCAAATTTCGCTGCTGTTTGAAATAAAATGTACAATGCAATTATTGCGGGTCATAATTAGATTACAGGTTTAGCATTTTTAATAATGGATTGTTGAAGTTTCCTTTGATTGAATCTCGTAAAATTGCTACTGACTCATGAAAGAGTAATAATTACTCCAAAATAAGGTAACATTGACTTGTAGCTTACCAAAAATATTTGTTGAGTATCTATCTGTCAGTTTGGAAACTCTTGACGTTTGTTTAAAGTAAACCTTGGATGAAAACATTCTATCAGTGTATATTAAGAAGAAGAGACACATCAATGATGTTCTATAAGGTAATATATGTTCATGAAATTGTCAAATGTCTCTTTGAATATTCTAATTTTCATTTGAAATTGAAAATAAAAAGGAATTGATTCATACTGAATTTTTAAAGCTAATTTTCTTTTCATTGCAACCTTTTTAACCCAAAATATGAAAATAGTGAAATGCGAAAACTTTTAAAAAATCGTAAAACATTGTGAAATGCAGAATGATCCATGTTCAGTTTCACTGAACTTGTTTGTTGAATGTTTTCGGACGGCAATAATAAATGCAGTTATTTCCTTGATTGTAGAATTTTATAATAATTTAAGTAATAGGAAGTTCGTGCGTATGTCAAAATACAAAATAACATTACATTAATAATAAAAACCCGCTAGGAATGCATATAATTTAATATAATTAGACATTCGATAAAACCCATACTTTTTCAAAAGAAAAATGCGATATTCACAACACGACACTTTTGAAGCACCCTCATATAAGCCAAATGACATCTTGATCTTCTGTCGGTAACTTATTCACTTTCTAACAAAGTGTAAATTAAAACATTGAAATAGGTTATAATTAATTATAATTGCAATTATGAATTTCTTTGTTCGACTGTATCATAATGAATGCAAAATATGTAACACCACCTTTTAGGTTTTTTGAAAGTACCTATTTATGTTTGATAACAAGCTAAGTAGTTAAATTATTTTCATCTCAAACAAGAAGATGTGCATGAATATAATGAAGACCTTTTTTAACATCTCTGTTACCTCTTTCAAACAATAGCACCGATGTGCTGATAAACATCATCTGTGAAGAGTAAACTCAGTCAATAACTTTTTTGTTTATATTTATTATTTAAAAAAGTGTATATCTCAATGGCAAATATATGTTGCCTCCAGGATAATTTCTTTTATCTTACAACTGTGTAATGTGCTGTACTAAATCTTTGGACGATGACAACAACGACGACACAACAATCATGATATCTCGGCTTTTTCTTCGGAGCAGACGAGTTAAAAATCGGGTTGTAAGAAGAAAGCGTCAAACCTATATATTTAAACAAGAATTTCAATGTGTCTAATTAAATGAAGATAAGTTTAAACATACTTTATTTCAAACAATGATACAACATGTTGTAAATACATTTACAATAAGTCGATAGACAAATGGAAAAGGATTTGAGCCGAAAGCTATAAAGCTTATAAAGGTCTTCTCCTACATATTTGTACAATGCAGTTAAATTAAGACAGTGTTTGCAATATTGTTTGAAAAAATGAAGTTAATTTTTAACATATTTGGAACGACAAAAAATCGAAGATTTTAGCTATTGTTCAAAAGATCCTTTTTTAAAGAATATAGATAATTCAATAGAATTAGAAAGACGGTAAAGAATATTCATTCGGGTATGTCAAGTTGGCAAACTATTTTGTGAATATATGCTCATGGAAATCGGTTACTTTTACGTATATATACATGAACTGCTTGAACAATTTTTGAATTAATGTCATGGCTAAGGTTCTGGTCTCCGTTTAGTAAGGTATGAAGTGTTATAGTACAGATGTTAGAAACAGCATCAAATAGTCTGAGTCTGATATCATTATACAAGTGACACTCAAAGAAAAAGTGGTGATTTCTTTCCAGGAGTCCACATTGACAATTTGGTGAGGGGGACATATTTTTTCTGAATAAGTTATGGTTTAAAGAGCTACATTCTGTTCGGAGCCGTGTGTGCATGACTTGCCATTTTCTTTCACCTATGTAATAGTATTTGGGGCATTTTTTTTATATTACCTTTAAGTTGCGTTTTAAAGGAGGAGAAAAATATTGAGTTTTGTACCTCTGTTGATAGTAAGTTCCAATCTCTAAAAGTAGATGGCAGAAATGCATTATGGTAAAGAGAAGTTCTTGTGCGTATTTTTTGCATGTCAGAAGCATTTCGTAAAATGTACCTAGACGTTTCTGCAACTGATGGTGGAACTAAAGACAATAAATAGTGTGGTGTGAGACCGTTTCTCATTTTGTTAAACAAAATGAGTTTGTGATTCTGTATACGGCTTTCGAGGTATTCCCAACGTACTTCTCTTTGAAGTTCCTGAAGAGATACAAGTTAAGTGGCCCCTGAAACTATACGGGCGGCTTCGTGTTGAATTTTATCAAGTTCAAGTTTTTCATATTGTGTACAGTTGATCCAGATTACATCTGCATATTCAATGAGAGGTCTTATGATTGATAGATACATGTATATAACTTCTAGTGATCTTCTGCCTAGTGTAAATTCAAGTTTTCTCATGATGTGAATTTTTTTCCAAGCCTTCTCTTTGATAGAATTAATATGTACATGCCAAGAGCAATCATCCGAAAAGTAAAGACCGAGATATTTATGACTATTTACTGAGGATATAGGCTGATCATGCATTAAAAGTGGCGTATGATAAGGCTGATTTGTTTTGCGTGACATGATCATAGTTTCCGATTAAGAAGGGTTGGATGTTACAAGCCATTTATCAGCCCAACTTGAGATTTTGTCGATATCAGATTAAAGAGTTGTCGCGGCAGCTATTGGATAGTCAACAATTATGTGCAAACTAGTATCATCGGCAAAGAGGTGTATGCTTGAGTTAAAATCTTCAACAATCTCATTAATGTATACCAGGAACAACAGAGGTCCAAGAATAGATCCTTGAGGAACTTCTGCATTTACAATTGACCAAATAGATAAGCTCCAGGTAGAACGACACATTGACGTCTGTTAGAAAGATAATCAGAGAACCAGTTCGGCAATTTTCCATTTAATCCAGCATTTTGTAATTTATAGAGAACACCATCATGCCATACCTTTCGGAAGCTTTACTTATATCAAAGCATACTGTTCTTACTTCTAATCCGTCGTCGAGAGCCTTAAATGAGATTATTGGAGATTGTGTATGCAAAACTGGTATGCCGAAATTCATAATTCTTCAAGATTACAAACTTATTGTCTATTTAAACACAATTTTGTTAGGGAATTATATTTAGACTCCGTACATGAAAATAGATATAGAGTAGCACTTACTAGATTTAGAACCTCTTCACACAATCTTTTTATTGAAACAGGAAGATATGATAATACCCAACGTGAAGACCGAATATGTAAATCATGTTACATGAGAAAAATTGAAAATGAATACCACTTTCTGCTTGTGTGTCCACACTATAGAGAGCTTAGAATAATTTTTTTTTAAACTTATATATTGTCGTTAGCCAAACATGTATAAATTTAATAATCTTTTATCCTTTAGATCAAAGAAAACATTGTTGGCTTTGTCTAAACTTTTGTATTTTGCAAATCAGAAACGTATTTCTTGATCACACATAACCATATAACAATATGTACGACACATAGAAACTTAGGTTGTATGAAAATCTAGAATTGTTTATTTTTCTGGAAAATATTTATCCTCTCCGGAAAATTGTTCTGTTTCTCATTGTATGTATATGTTTATTTGCATTTCTATGGCTATAAACATTGTACTATGTTTTATGCTGAATAAGGTTCGTATTCGTATTCGTTAAATGAAGATTGTTTTGTTTTTTTTAAATGTTACTTTTGTGTTTTCTTATGTCTGTGATAAATTTTGATAGTAAAAACAGGTTGATAAATTATTGTTTTCTTTATATTTTAAAGTCAAATGAAACAAAATGTTGAAACGAATTGTTTTTCAGAGTGTGAAAACGGATTTTTTGGCAAAGACTGTCAGAATAAATGCAACAGCAACTGTTTAAGGTCAGGGGTGAATGCCATATGCGATAACGTGAACGGCACATGCATTTATGGTTGCAAAGCTGGATTTCAAAGATCCCATTGTGACAAAAGTATGCTGTTTTAATCTTATTTCTAACTGTTTTATAAAGTTAAATCTTACCTGTCTCATTGAATGACGTGGTAAGTGCGAGCTTCCGTCTGTATCGCTGTCACTGGCAAATTAATATTTAGATAAAATTAAAATTAAACATGAATTAATAACATTGAAGACGATGATTTTTTGCTGCTTATTTCATAAGCTACAAAATTAGGTTTGTTTTCTTTACCTTTATATTAAGATATTTCAAAAATTTTGCTGCGGGTTGTAATGAAATGCCGAGTATCATGCATTTTTTGCGGGTCTTATTTAGAATAGATATGCGGAACTACTTACTCACAGGGGAGTATTTTATATTTTAAGAATGACTCCAAAAGAGGTAACTTTTACTAGCAGACTACCGAAAATATCTATCTAGTATCCAACTGTACGTTTTGAAAATTCGTGACGTTTGTTGATAATTCACTTTGGGTAAAAATACTCAGTTAATATCAAGGCGAAGAAACATTAAAATATTGTCTTGTATAAACGTCAACCGATCATGTAAAATGTTTCATATTATAAGGAATATGTGATCATGAAAATGTCAAATGTCTAATTGAATATTGTTGTTGTTTTTTTCTTTGAAACTGAACCTAAAAGAAATAAAAATATATACTGAATTTTCGAAGCTAATTTTTTTTCTCAGTGCATTCATTTTAGCCCGAAATGTGAAAAAAAAACTTTGAAAGGGTCGTTATCTAAGTAAAACGCAAAATGATCACAGGTTCGTTATGAACCTTATTGTTGCCTTTTTTTTGACGGCAGTAATAAATGCAACACTTTTTAGTTATGTGTCATATTGTATAATTTTATTATAATTAAAGTCGTAGGAAGTTCTAGCGAATGTAAATGTAGAGATTAACATTATATGATTAATAAAACCACTTTTAATGTATATTATTTTTTATATTAATATTATTTAGATGTTCGATATAAAACAATACACTTTCAAAATAAAGTGCGATATTCGTAACGCGAGACATTCTTTACATTGATGCCGCTTTAACAATATACAATCTAGTTCAGTATATTCATGTAAATTATCTTTCCTCTTTTTTATTTACTTTTTGTATAAAATAGCTAACATATTTACAGAATGTGACGATGGTAAATGGGGCATAAACTGTACAAATGATTGTGGGAAATGTTTAACTACACCATGTTACCATGTGAATGGATATTGCCAAGATGGATGTGCTGCTGGTTATAAGAAGACAAGGGATTGCCACACTGGTATTTTTTTATAAAAAGATGTATAAAAGTATAAAGCGATAACTGTGTATCTGAAATAAGTCGTATAGTTCATAACATTGTGGTAACATTTATACCGAGTTATTTAACTGAAATAAGATTTTGAGAATTTCATGATCGTTTTGATTTGGTAGCTTGCAGTTTCAATCAACGTTAATGACAAAAAAACAACAATTTTGTTTAAATTATTTAAAGAAACGAACAAAACGTTACATATATAACACAGATGTGATAAATAATTCCGTTTGAGACATTTAAGCGTTTTCTTTTTGATATAGCTTTAGATACATTAACAAATAAATTCCGCTTTCATTGTCATGTCTGTGTTAAGCATTCATCTTATATGAATCTCAAGTTAATCTAATAATTATCAGAAAAAAACTCATTAATCTAATAATTATCAGAAAAAAACTACATTTCCTTATATTTGATGTAGCAGGTACTATGTACTTCTAAATTTTAAAGATATTTTAACCAGGCACGAGACTAAACAAATGCAATTTGAAATGTGTACCAATGCAGTTAGGTTACCTTATAAAAATCTGGAAACAAAGTGATCCCTCGGAAGCATTAATCACAACAAAATTACATAAGAATTGCAGACACGGTTTGATTGAGTCTGTACATGAGGGATACTGAATAAGTGCAACGTCCCTCACGCCCCCTAGCACCGGCTTGAGCGGTACTCAATTCTCAACACTTAATAGTGCTGGTATCAATGATCCCGAAGGACCAAAAAGATATAACAACACTGAAGTGAAGTACGGGGCAACTTTTTACAGCTGCCACACAGCACTTGACACCTGCTGTTGTGAAGTATAAAAATCTGGAAACAAAGTGATCCCTCGGAATCATTAATCACAACAAAATTACATAAGAATTGCAGACTCGGTTTGATTGAGTCTGTACATGAGGGGTACTGAATAAGTGCAACATCCCTCACGCCCCCTAGCACCGGCTTGAGCGGTACTCAATCAATTCTCAAGACCTTTTTCACTTAAACTGATAAAAAATAACAGTATTGATGATGTTGCTATTACAATTATTGCTGTAAGTATTTGTAGCTTTCTAATCATTTTTTAGAATGTGACACTGGGACATATGGCAAAGAATGTAAAATCCGTTGCAGTAATAATTGTGTCGATGCATGTGATAAAAAAACAGGAGTGTGTTCTGATTGCAAAACTGGCTGGAAAGGAGACAGATGCACTGAAGGTATGTTAATTACCTTTTTTTTGCATTTGATCATACACAAAGCCAAATGGATTGAATGATATAAATTCAGGACTGATGATAGATGACAACCTTGAACATTTACAACAATTGTACCGAATTACTTAACTGAAATAAGATTTTGAGCATTTCATGATCGTTTCAATTTGGTACCTTGCAGTATCAATCAACGTTAATTACAAAACATGAGGGCCATGATGGCCCTGAGGTCGCTCACCTGTATATAGCCCCCCCCCCACACACACACCCATAAGATGTTTCATGCTAAACATCTAAGCACTAGCTCATTGGGCTTTTTAAAAGAAGATTTTTTTTAAAGTTTTTACTATACACATATAGTTAACAAGAGGGCCATGATGGCCCTGAGGTCGCTCACCTGTATATAGACCCCCAACCCCCCCCCAACGTTGCAGGGCCAATTTAACCCAAGGGCTTTTATTTGCACAAACTTGGTAGACACCCATAAGAAGATGTTTCATGCTAAACATCTAAGCTCTAGCTCATTGGGCTTTTTAAAAGAAGATTTTTTTTAAAGTTTTTACTATACACATATAGTTAAAAACAATGACACACCTGGGGCCGGGCCAGTTTTGACCCCAGGGCTTTTATTTGAACAAACTTTGTAGACACTTACTAGAAGATGTTTCATGCTTAATATCTAAACTCTAGCTATTTGGGTTTTTTCAAAGAAGATTTTAAGTTTTTGCTTTACACATATAAAGAAAATCAATGACCCCCGGGGCGGGGCCAATTTTGACCCCAGGTCTTTTATTTGAACAAACTTTGTAGACACTCACTAAAAGATGTTTCATGCTTAATATCTTAACTCTAGCTATTTGGGTTTTTTCAAAGAATTTTTTAAGTTTTTGCTATACACATATAAGGAAAATCAATGACCCCCGGGGCGGTGCCAATTTTGACCCCAGGGCTTTTATTTGAACAAACTTGGTAGACACCTATTAGAACATGTTTGATGCTAAATATCTTATAGCCATAGCTCTTTGAGTTCTTCAAAAGAAGATTTTTAAGTTTTTACTATATGCATATAGGGAATCAATGACCCCCCAGGGCGGGGCCAATTTGGACCCCAGGGCTTTTATTTGAACAAACTTGGTAGACACTTATTAGAACATGTTTCATGCTAAATATCTTAGCTCTAACTCTTTTGGTTCTTTAAATGAAGATTTTTTAAGTTTTTACTATATGCATATAGGGAAAATCAATGACCCCCTGGGGCGGGGCCAATTTTGACCCCAGGGCTTTTATTTGAACAAACTTGGTAGACACCCATTAGTACATGTTTCATGCTAAATAGCTTAGCTCTAGCTCTTTGGGTTCTTTAAAAGAAGATTTTTTAAGTTTTTACTATATGCATATAGGGAAAAATCAATAACCCCCCGGGGCGGGGTAAATTTTGACCCCAGGGCTTTTATTTGAACAAACTTGGTAGACACTCACTAGAAGATGTTTCATGCCAAATATCTAAGCTCTAGCTCTTATGGTTTTTTTAAAGGAGATATTTAAAGTTTTTTCTTTCGGTTGCCATGGCAACCAGAGTTCTGCATGGAATTAAATTCTTTAAACAATTTTTAAAGGTGACCACCAAAGGAACATTCCTGTGAAGTTTGGATGAAATTGGCCTAGTGGTTTATGAGGAGATGTCATTTAAAGTAAAAGTTTACGGACAGACGGACGCCGGACGAAAAGTGATCACAAAAGCTCACCCTGTCACTTTGTGACAGGTGAGCTAAAAAAAAAGATTTTGTTTACTTAATAGGTAATTTTAAAGAAACGAACACAATGTTATATATATATATACACACACAGATATGGTTTAAAGCAGATAAACTATTCCGTTTGAGACATAAGCGTTTTCATTTTGACAAAGCTTTAGACACATTAACAGATATATACATGTATATATATTTCGCTTTCATTGTAATGTTTGTCTTATAACAATCAATTTATTTCAATCTCGAGTTAATTTAATCATCATCAGAAAAAAACTACATTTCCTTATAATTGATTATGCAAGTACCATTTACCTCTTAATTTTAAAGATATTTTTAACCAGACACGAGACTAAACAAATGCAATTTGAAATGTGTACCAATGCAGTTAGGTCACATAAGCCTTATGAAATACCTAATAAGACCTTTCTCACTTAAACTGATAAATATTAACAGCATTGATGATGTTGCTTTTATAATTATTGCTATTAGTATTTGTAGCGTTCTTATCTTTTTTTTAGAATGTGACACTGGGACATATGGCAAAGAATGTAAAAGCAGTTGCAGTAATAATTGTGTCGATGTATGTGATAAGAAAACAGGATTGTGTTCTGATTGCAAAACTGGCTGGAAAGGAGACAAATGCACGGACGGTATGTTATTTAACTTTGTTTTGTAGTGTTTAATTACTATTACTTTTTATAAGGCTTTTTCCTTTGTCTAATTGTGATTAATTAGATGCATATAACAATAGTACTGTGTCATGTCTTTCCTTGATTAATTAAGAAAAAGGTAAGGTCAATAAGGCAAGTGCGATAATACATTTGATATTCAATCTTAACTTCTTATTTTACACTGGTCAATACAAATCGCATGGTATTAACAATTTTTAAAAATATATATTTATTTCCATCGGACAAGTGAGTTCGAATAAAATCATATTATTTAAAGACTGACTTGTGATATAAATGACGATTACAATAGAGTGATATGTGTTTACAAACATTGGCTATTGTAGCACATTTTGCATTTGATCATACACAAAACCAAATGAATTTAAGACTGATGATAGATGACACCCTCACACATTCTAAACTTTAGAAGTGATGATATACACTTATCAGCTGTTTCAAATTCAACCTGTTTGTAACGACGCTGGCAATTGATTGCTCATCGTATATGGACCTTATGGACGTTTGTTATCATGCATGTCAAAGATTCAAAGCGATTTTATTGAAATTAATCGTTAAACTAAGTAAAATCCCGGAAAGAATTTGGATAATAATGTCGGGATGTATTTGGTAAGTGTGAAAGAGAGAGCCATGTGACAGATGCAATAGAACATGCGTTTAGGATGTCTTTCAGACTTTTAAAATAACTCACCGGTTAAAAGATGGTTAGGTTTATTCTCAGTAATAACTCTCTTTGTAAAATAAATATGTTTATTGCTTTATCTTACGGTTTGTTTGCATCTTGATTATAGAAAAATATTATGTATACATATATGACACTAGTGGTATTAAAATCATGTTTAAATTGTGACTGTCATATTTTGAAGTATGTGAAAATGGAACATATGGTGATTCCTGTCTATTCAACTGCAGCAAGAATTGTGAAGGAATTTGTAATAAAATGAACGGGACGTGTAATCAGTGCCGTCAAGGCTGGTCAGGAGATTTCTGTGACAAAGGTAAGTTAAATTATTGAAACTGAAGTATATTTTAAGTTTTCCTGATTGATTAAAAACAAGAGAATTTAGGAAAGCTTACAGTACGCTGAAAATAACAAAATAAAACACGGAACAAGCTCTGTTTAATTACACCTGTTCGTGAATGGCATTGATACATGCAAGTTATCGTCCATGCCCTGCAGCACCGGCTTAATCGGATTCAAATATGACACACTCTTATTTTGTACAGTTTTTCTGTATTTTTTTAGCAATACTTATGAAGAAATAGATTTAGTATGTAATGCATTCTTTTCTATTACTAAATTACTTTATTTTTATTCAGCGTTGATTGAAGATTTTCCACCATTCACTGACGACACCTCTGCTACTTCCGGAATAGTTGGTGCTTTGACAGCAGTTGTTATTTTAGTGTTGTTGATAGGTGTCGCAGTATTCATATACAGAAGGAAACAAAATACTGAGTAAGGAGGACACATAATTGATACGATTATTTATCTAATGAATACGCTTATTTATTTATTGATGCTTTCGAATATTGTAGTAAAGTAGTTGGTCAAATTTGCATGCCTTTTTAAATATTTATTTTTAACGTATTTTAATTAAGGAAAACATTGTCTTGGCTAAAGCGCGTTTTGCATTACGCAATATCTTAATTTCTTTAGTTTTGATATTTTTTTTTTTACAAAATAGTTGTGGTACATTAAATTGTGTATGGACGATAATGGTTATTAGTTAAATATAAATGATTAAACATAATTCAAGAAAACTATAATGTGAATGTTTCACAATGTGGTTTTAATTACGTTACTATGGTGGATAAAAGTTGTCTATTGCTGGTTTGACGACATATAAACAAAGTTTGATATGCATTCTTACACCTTTACACTATAGTCTTATCAAACAGTGCAGTAAAGATACAATATCACGTGATACATGCACGACATAACAAAATAATGCTGACACTTTAAATAACGTCAGATATTACGTCTACACTCAACATATTTGTAAATTCTCTTTTTATAAGCATATTAGAATATATAAAGATATTATTTTTCTCTCATTGGCTTTCGTGATTATAATCCTGCGCATATGGACACACACCGTACATTAATTTACGACAATATACTAAAAAATATGCGAAGATAAATAGAAAAATCACAACAAAATGTCATTCTGTAACTTTTGTCTTGTCTTGCTGTTTAGCTTCATGAAGATATATATTTTTGTCTTTCCATTTCAAAGAAGGAGAAACAACGAATCAAAAACTGTTACCGAATCTATTCGAGATATTAAAGATGACAGGGCAAATGTAAAACTGGATGAACCAAGCAACAGCGTGTCGTATGTCAATGCATCGGAGCTGGTGCATAAAATGCGGGAAATCAATGCAGTATCAAATGGTATAATGTTGAACTGATCATTTTCAGTTATCATCTAAGTATATTCTTATTACCCTGCAAATAAACTCTGATGTAGTAAGAAAGCATCAATACAAACGAGACAATACAATTATATTTTCATTAAATATAAGGATGAGTCTGTTTACTAGTTAAGTTTTGGAATAAGCATGATAAGTAACATAAAATTCGTTTGGTAGGATAATTTAATTCAGAAGCTAGAGGTAGATTAACATTTGGTTGTAGTGATATGAATCATTATTACATTAGGTATCTGCATTTGTACAATCAATATAATTCAAATACTTTAAGATACACTAACTGTTTCTGTACTTAGATAAAGGTAATGGTAAAAGTACGTTTATTGAAGAAAGGAAGGTAGAGGTAGAATATTGTATCCCCAAAACTGCACAAGGAGTTCTTTTGTCAGAGTTTGAAACGTATGTGAGATCTGGACTAGCAAACACAGAGATTTTCTTTCAACAGTTTCAGGTAAAATAAATTCATAAAGAAGATATAGTGTTATTGAGTATTATGATTTAGATATATTTCTCTGAAACATAACCAGATACAATACTACAGCACAGCAAAATTCGAGTAAATATAGTGCATCTCTTTTGGCCATGGATGTAAAATAAATATAAATAATGTTGCTAAAACTTTTGCTTTATTGTTTGTCTATAATGCATCAAAATTCAATAATTTCGACCCTGAAAACTTTTAGGTTTTAGGTTTTCAATTTGAAATTCTTCTCTATGTTTTTAATGTTTTTAATGATTGACTACTTAGGTTGTTGTTCAACTAGACTGACTATTTCAGTTGTGAAAGGATAAAAACTGCATCAAATTAAGTATTTTTATAAAGTTAATTAACGAGAAAATTTAATTTGTTTACATAATCTTATAATCGAGTGTCGAAATAGTTTTGTCAAAGATTGTTTGTGTTATTAAACAAGTATTAATACAGTACATATGGTAAACAAGATAACATGTTCGTGAATTAAATATTATGATGTTAAGACGTGTTTTAACCGTTCAGAAATAGTTTCGTGCAATGTCCGACTCATTTTGTAGCAATAATTTATACTAGTATAACATATTCTTTTTCAAAATTGAAACAATTTCTTTTACAGAATATATAAAGCTTTATACACTTTAAGTTTTCATTTATTAGTAGTTCATAAGTGTTACATTAAAAGGCTACAAAAGTAGTTGTAACTTAGACTATATTGTCTCCAATAAATGCATAATTATATATTTACTTTTATTTTAATAAATAATTATATGGAAACTTTCAGCAAATACCATACGGCATGCAGTATGCCTCTGATGTTGCCACGAAGCCAAAGAACCATTGCAAGAACAGATATAAAGCTATGTATGCATGTAAGTATTTTTCAACCAGATTATTTCAACAGAAAACGATTTTTAAATATTGTTAGACTGGCGAACATTATTATTTTTATAGTTCTTATTTCATATAACATTATATCATAATTTGTTAAGTTCTGTAATTCATGTATCCAACAATTTGTTTTACACAGTATTTTGTATTTTCAGAGCGGGACCATTTGATTACACATGTTTTTTTTTATAAATATTTATAAAGTTGGTGTGAAATCTATGGAAAATGCTTGTCGTTTGTGTTAATAAAACGTATACTACTTATTAATCAGCATTCTTGTTAAAACAAGTGAGTGGTGGAACTAATGCGATTGTTTCAAGCACGTTTCAAACATAATCATTCTATTTGTGTTTGTGGTGAATATGCCTCGAACTATGGCTTTTTATGTTTTAACAATTATCATATTTAAGTTAGTAATTATTTCGTTTTGATGTACTGTCTTTCGTCTTCTACACAATATAGATAGTTTCATATTCAATATTCCATGGCATAATATGAAAGCCCAGAATAAATAAATTAATATAAGGGCATCTGATTTTTCTATCGTTACCCCTTTCCTTGTCGTCATGTAGCCGATCATTGAACATGCTCTATGTTTTTCTCCGACAGACAGAGCAGTAAATTGAGTGCGGGTACTAATACCTGCACTCTAGTTAACGCACCATGCATTTTTGGGTACACCCCAAATTTAAAATCTTTTCACATTTTTAATAGAAGTTCCCCCAAACACGAAAACAAAAGGGTTTAGGGGAAAAAAATTGATAAAAAACTTTATATCACCTAGATTTAAAAATTTCTAAAGTATAAAAAGATACACAGTTAGAGATATAAGATTATTTATATTTATAACCCCAAAAACGAAGTTTGGGGGGATATATAGTATTCACCCGGTGGTCAGTCGGTTGGTCGGTCGGTTGGTCTGTCGGTCGGTCGGTCCAGCGGTCCGTTGCATTTTCCTTGTCCGGAGCATAACTTGAAGACTAATGGTTGGAATTCAATATAACTTCATACAATGGTCAAGCACATTGAGAGGAAGTGCAGTGCACAAGAACCATAACTCCATCTTGACTATTTACAGAGTTATTGCCCTTTGTTACTTTTCCTTGTCCGGAGCATAACTTGAAAACTACTGGTTAAAACTCGAAATAACTTCATACAATTGTCAAGCACAATAAGAGGAAGTGCAGTGCGCAAGAACCATAACTCTATCTAAAGTAATAACAGAGTTATTGCCCTTTGTTATTTTTCCATTGCTTTCTTTTGTCCGGACTATAACTTGAAGACTAACAGTTGGAATTCAATACAACTTCATACAATGGTTAAGCACATTGAGAGGAAGTGCAGTGCATGAGAACCATAACTCCATTTTGACTAATTACAGAGTTACTGCCCTTTGTTACTTTTCCTTGTCCGGAGCATAACTTGAAATTTACTGGTTGGAATTCAAAACAACTTCATACAATGGCCAAGCACAATAAGGGGAAGTGCCATGCACAAGAACCATAACTCCATTTTGACTAATTACAGAGTTATTGCCCTTTGTTACTTTTCGATTGCTTTTTTGTCTGGAGCATAACTTGAAGACTACTAGTTGGAATTCAATATAACTTCATACAATGGTCAAGCACATTGAGAGGAAGTGCAGTGCATGAGAACCATAACTCCATCTTGACTAATTTCAGAGTTATTGCCCTTTGTTACTTTTCCTTTGTCTGGAGCATAACTTGAAAACTACTGGTTGGAATTCAATACAACTTCCTGCAGTTGTCAAGCACATTAAGAGGAAAATGCAGTGCACAAGAATTATAACTCCATTTGACAAATTACAGAGTCATTGCCCTTTGATACTTTTCCTTGTCTGGAGCATAACTTAAAACATACTTGTTGGAATTTAAAACAACTTCATACAATGGTCAAGCACAATAAGAGAAAGTGCAGTGCACAAGAACCATAACTCCATTTTGAATAATTACAGAGTTACTTGCCCTTTGTTACTTTTCCTTGTCCAGAGCATAACTTGAAAAACTACTAGTTTGAATTCAAAACTATTTCATTACTATGGTCAAGTATATTGAGAGGAAGTGCAGTGCACAGAAAAAGCATAACTCTTTTTGACTAATTTAAAAGTTGTTGCCCTTTGTTACTTTTTATTGTCCAGTGCATAACTTGAAAATTAATGGTTGGAATTAATGAAACTTTATACAATGGTCAAGGGGCAGTGAGATGAAGTGCAGTGCACAAGAACAATAACTCTATTTGGACTAATTACAGTTATTGCTTTTGTTACTTTTTTTCCAGTTGCATAACTTGAAAACTAGTAGTTGGAATTCAATACAACTTCATACAATGGTCAAGTGCAATGAGAGGAAGTGCAGTGTACAATAGCCATAACTCAATCTTCAGTATTTATAGAGTTATTGCCCTTTGTTCCTTTTCCTTGTTTCTGGACTTCTTACAGAGTAATCCAATAAAACTTCATTCAATGGCCAACCACATTGAAAGGAAATGCAACATACAAGAACCACAACTATCTGTAATTGCCCACAACCATAACTCTGTTTCAATTCTTTACAAGGTATTCTGTTACTAGTAACATCCTCATTTCCGAAGCAGTCTTGCGGGGGGTATTAATCACATTTAGTGATAGTTCTAGTTTCGTTTGATTTGATTTGATTGAAACTACACTCTATATATAGCTTTAAATAAGTTTGCTACAATTAAAAGCCAATTGTTATTTACATTACACCAAGTGAAGAGATAAACGCTTAGTATAAAGGATATTAAGATATGTTGTTTATTAATATTATTATTATTATTATAATTATTATTATTATTATTATCATTATTATTATTATTATTATTATTATTACTATTGTTTTCATTTGGCATAAAGGAGAAATATTTAAATTTTTCCATGCTTGATGATCTTTGAAGCACACAATAGACTGATTTAATATATATTATGGTTCACAGATTCACAGACTGTAAGTGATCGCCATTGTATAGTTGAGCCGCGCCATGACAAAATCAACATAATGCGTTTGCGACCAGCATGGATCCAGACCTGATCTGACCACATCCGCGCAGCCTGAACAGGATACATGATGTTCGCTGTCAGTTTCTCTACTTGTTATAGGGTTTGTAAGCCAACAATTTGGATCAGATGCGGATGCGCAGGCTGGTCTGGATCCATGCTGGTCGCAAACGCATTATGTTGATTTTGTCATGGCGCGGCTCAACTATATCGCATGCCTAGTTTACAAGAACTAGGAGTTTTACTTAATATACCACTGCTATTACGATTTTTTTTTAAATTTTATTATATTCGCAATCTTCTCTATACAGTTAATGAAGTATCTGTCATTTCTTTCTTCAGATGATCATTCTAGAGTGATACTGCGAACACTTCCTGACCAGCCAGGCTCTGATTATATCAATGCATCCAAAATAATGGTAACCTGATCATATCTCATATCTTAATCATAGTATTTGTTTTTCCGAAGAAACAAAAATAAGAAAATCTAAAATTTAGTTCATTTCACTTTTATTTTGTATTAAATGAATTAGGTCAAACGTATTTTTTAATAATCAAATTTAAATCCCAACCTGTAACCACAATTGATATTTAATACTTTTTTCATTGGAACAATGTAAACATAATAAACGACTTCATCCATTTTCATAATATTGATAACAATAGCATTCAAACATCTAAACAACATACCTGAAAAAATAGATTCCACTGAATAAACAAATAGAATTATAAATAGTATTCGTATCCAGAGCTTTACATACAAAGGTATAGGCAGTTTTCGGTCGGGTTTATTGAGTTTTAATATACTGTTATGACTCGAATAATCAATGTTTCTTGTTGATGATATATGTTTTCAGGGCAATACTGGTAAGGTGTCATACATAGCAGCCCAAGGTAATGATAGTTAAAATGTTATGTAATTATCTCCGAATTTTGTACATAAATCAACAGGACTTCCATTAAGTTACAAACATTGGAAGTCAAAGACTGAAAAACGTCTTTTACATACATTATATAGGAACAGAGGGAAAAAGCAATACATTTTGGAAGTCACAAGCCAAAATCTATATACATGAATGTTGGATGAGTTGAGTTTTGCATTTAAGTTAATGGAACATATTTCCCTATTTCCTTGTCTATATATTGTACTGTCAATATCTGGCATGAACCTCACATAACATTGATATGCATGATATATTATTCATTATTGTATTAAAGGAGAACCTTTTAGAATTGTAAATTAGCACCTTGAAATTGTGTATAATTTACAGGTATATATAGATTAAAATAAATATGAGCCGCGTCATGACAAAACCAACATAGTGCGTTTGCGACCAGCATGGATCCAGACCAGCCTGCGCATCAGCGCAGTCTGATCACGATCCATGCTGTTCGCTTTCAGTTTCTCTACTTATAATATAGTTGGTAAGCGAACAGCATGGATCCTTATCAGACTGCATGGATGCGCAGGCTGGTATGGATCCATGCTGGTCGCAAACGCACTATGTTGGTTTTGTCATGACGCGGCTCAATTATATTTTGTCTGTTTTAGGGCCAATCTCGAGTACTCTCGGTGACTTTTGGAGGATGATATGGGAGCAAACTGTTCGAACAATTGTTATGCTAACGAATCTTACAGAAGAAGGGAAGGTAAGTGCGAAGGAATCAATAATAACATCTAAAATGATTACACTACGTTTTTATACTTTTATTTCTTCACTCATGACTCCATACAAATACTTGACAGTACACCAACATTTTTCAAAGTTTGTTGGATTTTTTTAATTACCTATTTACATGTATGGGTACTTAAATAAATGAAGATAACTCGAAATTTTAAATGCAACTTTTAACCACGTGGTTGAGCACTACTGGTCTATCGTTCACTTTATAATGGAGCAGGAAGCTTACTTTTAAATAATTATTTTATTAAAGTTAAAATTTACCCTTTTTAAAACTTAAAAGGAATATTTCCGAAACTTAAAATACTCTTCCTTGATATGTTTTTACCAAAATATACCCATTAGGAACGATTTGGGTGAAGATAAAACTGATTCTTCGGATGTTTTAGGGGAATATTCCTCTTTTGTTTTTTTACTCTTGTTGATGATACAAGATAAAGAGGAATATTACTCTTAAAATGAAAGTTCCCAATATACTCTTTATTACATGTCATTGTTCAATACTATTTTGGAAATTTGTATTTAATTTTTTGCCACCGCTCTTACATGTAATTTTACATTTATAATGCAATAGAAATATCTTTTAATCCTTTTGTAAGGATTTCAAATGATACGTGATTAAGGCCAATTTGAAAATTAATGGAAACTGTTAGTGAATTCGGATAGTCCTGAATCGGATAAGAGGTTAACAACCAATTGACAAAATGCTGGTACGAATATTTTTTTCATGTTTCGGCCTCCTGTTTAACATCTTAGGTTTAACTACCCTTGAGGACATTAATATTTTTTGCCTTATTTTTTATTTATTTATTTTTTTTTGATTCACATGCTTAATAAAATGAATTATAAGAGAACTGGCAAAAATAAAATATCTAAATTGCAATTTCAAATGCATTCCCGTTTTCTTTCCTTAAACTATTTCACAAATACATGTTAAACATGAAAAAAAAAATGTAAAAAAAACCTTTTCTAATTTCGGAAACCTTTTTCTAATCCGGCAAAACCTTTTTCTAATCCGAACTTTTCTTCTAGTCCGAACGAGTTCGGATTAGACAGGTTCCACTGTACTATTATTCAAAACATAATAAAACATTTAAATCATATATAACTTTGAACAGTGGATACTTAATAAAAAAATGCGTGTATAAAGCATTTTGTGATTTAGTACAAGGAAATTAATAGATAAATGAGATAAAAAAATTCATAAAAGAACAGATAATAATTTATTCTTTTCAGTAAAAAAGTGAAATCAGGAATATATTTTAATATCAATTATGTATAGATGAAGTTGTTTCTTTAAGTTACTGGCCGGGAAAGCTGGAGGAATTTTTTTGAAACACGGGAAACATTTTTTTTTTTGTCCGAAATTAAAGAGGATGTTTTCGCGGAGTTCACGATTCGACGCCTTAAAAATACATTCAGGAAGGTGGAGTTGACTCATTTTGTTGAGGTTGTAACTTTAGTGAGTAATACCTCAGATGTCGGTAAACTGACATGTTTATGATTAATCATTAGCAGTTTTTGTTGGAACAGTGTTCAATGTTATTTCGTGCTCTTTTTTTCAATGTATTTGTCTTTTTAGTAAATTGTGTTTATTCCAAAGGACTATTGTATTATTTTACTAAATTCGTTTTTTTTTTTTTTGGCGTTCGTGGCCGAGGGGTTAAGGTTTTCGTTGAACTTCCAACTTACTTGCTCTTGTTATTTGGTTTTCAAATCCCACAAGAGACTGGAAATTCTTCCGTGTGTGAGGTAGATATCTCCAGCTAGCCAAAACGGAAAATTGTCAGTGGTTCTACCAGTGCCCGTTCGTGGTATAAAATTTAATGCACGGCAAGGAACCTGATGCCACTATCTTACAATTGTTTATGGTCTGATTTGTTTTTTAAAAAAGGGTTTAAATATTTGTCTCCAAATATTCAATTATTAGAACACAAACACTGACAGGGCAAGAACTTTGCGGTCATTTCCATTTCACTGCCTTTGGCCGACAAAAGATGTTTGCCCCAAGAAAGCACACGTATGTTTGTTTACTTTACATTTTCTGGCATCAAGTCCGAAATCATTTGATTGAAAAGAAGGATTCGACCTTGGCAGCTAGTCCACTGCAGGTAAGACAAGATATTCAAGATTTTATTTTCATAATTTTAAAAATAGTAAAAAATTTTTCTGATATTGTAGAACTCCTATTTATCAGACAGAATTTTATTTACATACATGTTTTGAAAAATCTCGGTGGATCAGAATTTGGTTTAGCTATACCGATGAAGAACTATTGGGGATAATCTCTAAATAACATCGCCAAGAGGCTCATCATTTTATACCAAATTCTCAAATCGCCAACTTGGGTATAATTTGCAATATCGTCATTATTTTTATCATTCCCTTTTTATCATTTCCATTTTATTTTATCATATTAATTAAATTATCTTTTATTATTAATTATTTACACGAGCCGGGTATTGGAAGGATAAGCAAACTAATTTATGTCAAGTTGCACCCTTTCCCTGGTTGCCGAACTCAGAACCGGAATCCTTGATTTGGGGATATCTGTTTTCAACGGTAACATATAAAATTCTAATACTTTTAACTTGAAAATATACGCTTTGCTTAGGGATTAAGCTTGCTTACGCTCTCTACAATTTTTTTATGCACGAAAGTAAGGTTCAATACTAGAATATAGTTTTATTAATGCCAATGCTTTTGTTAGTGCCGGAGTCCGGTCGAACAACTTTGGAAACATTTATCGGAAACTAGACGTTCTTTGTGATATGGGAAAGGGGATATGGGTTTGTAGATTGTATTCAATGTGTTGACGACCTTAGAAAACAGAGAGTCAATATGGTGCCCAAACAAAGGTGTATTGTATTGTATATTTAACTTTAATCTTGATAGAAGTATTAAGTGGATGGTTCAACTATTTTCTTATGATAAAAAATCAACCATTATATTTATTTAAATTTATCTCAAGTAACAATCAAAATAAACTAAATGTATATTTCCATTTAGGCCCAAAATTGACTGCACCAGATATTGTATGTTGCTAATATATTCGGAACTTTTAACTTATTTTGTAATTCTTAATTACAATGATTGGCTAGTTGTTTAATAATAAAACATTATGCAATAAACATGCCCTTTTTAAGAGCCAGAGGAAAAGAATATTTTTATTAATTGATGATTTAACAATTTTGCTCAAGATTGATGACCAAAACTAATTAGACATAAAAACAGATATTCACATAGATTTCGCTTGACAAATTATGAGACAGGTCGAACCCATCATTTGCTATGCCTAAATTTGAATGTTTACAAATTTGATGCCCATATTTACAGAATCAGTACCAAAGTATTTACACTGTCCCTGCAGGTTAGAAGCCACTTGTATTGCCATCAGAGCCTGCACATATGGACAACTTTTCATGCCCATCTACCCAATCATCTGAAGAATTGACTGATCCGGAGGCAGGAAAAAACATCCCTTTTGATATGCAGTACGAGGTTACACTTAAATTACTTCATAACAAGTAATATCGCCCCAACCAGTCTTTTAGTCAAAATGGTCATTTAATTCTAAGTACGTATCGTTAGTTGACATTGTTATTGAGCCTTAAACCATATTTCATGACAAGCGTCCAATATTAGTCCAGTTTTTCGTTTCATTTTGTATTAACAAGGTTCGAATATATGTGTATTCTTTCAAATACAAAAATGAAAAATATTTATGTCATAATTATTTAATCTAATTGTAATGGCAGAACCCATTAAGTCCGAAGTTATTCATAAAACTTTAAACAGATTGTTTTAATTTTTTTTCAAATCAAATATGTATTACTTTTAATTTATTAATTTTACTCCATCTTCACATAATTCGTAGTAAATTTTAAACACCCAAAAATTCGAAAAAAAAAAACATTTAACCCGCCGCTCTGATTATGTGTTTCCCCTATAATGTATATTTCGAAAATTTTTAGAAATTTCTTTTCCAAAACTACAAGGGCTATAGCCCCTTAGATATTTTAGCATTGTAGCCATTGTTTCAAGTTTAAACCTTTATTAAGATAATCCCAATTTATAGTTTTAAGTTAAAAATTTGCCCTGCCCCCAGGAAGTCATTTTAGCCTTTTCTTTCCCATAATTATAGGGTTTAAGACAAAAAAGGGAAACAAACTCATATTAAAAATGCTATTTTATACATGTTGTAGAATGTTATGCTATTTTTTAAAAAAAAAAAAGGAATTCACATTTTTGGAGTCGGCAACCTCTTTGCAAGAGAAGATGCTTTTTTTTTCAGAATATTTATGCCAATTTATTTGGAGGTTCTGATCTCTAACAAAAGGAGGGGTATTTGATTTGCTGTGTTATTTAAGAAAATTATTGAGCACATTTTAAGGACGTTATGATTTCCCCAACTATGTATAAATTGATTATTTTAAATCGTAAAATGTGTATTACTATATTTTTCAGAAATAGTAAATGCTTTTAATTAAATAATATCAAAATTTACGATAAATAACGTAATTGTATTTTTTATTTTTTTAAACTTATTACAGCTATTTAGTTACACTAGGTAAAATATAACAAAAGTTTTTTTCAAGAAGAAAACTTGATTTATATTTGAAAAACCAGTTATTATACTATGGCCTTTCATATCTTTTTAACATTAAGACTTTATTCTTACATTGTCTGTCATTTTGACCGTGCTGACAATGACCTTGACCCCCACATGTATTTTAGACGCCAAAAAAAAAAAAAAAAAAGTTCCGAAACAAACAAAAAAACGCCATCTACAACATTCTGTGTCTACCTTGGTTTTTTGTAATTTATGCAGTGTGGTTTATAGCCATTTCTTTACAAATGCCCATTTATCTTTTCTATTTCTATTATTGTTTTTTTTAAAACAAGGCAAAATTATTATTTCATCAATTGACAGACCGAATATTTTTTTCAATTCAGGGTAATTACAAG